TGGCCAGCCTGTGGCCAGCACCCCGTGGCCAGCCCGTGGCCGGCAGCCGCCCTGTGCAGGGCTCTGGCCTTGCGCTTCCCTTCCACTCCTCGTTAAAGGCAGTGGAGTGAGGAAGAATCTGAAACGCAGCCGGCAGCCAGCATGGTGACAATGACACATGCACGGGATGCTGACACAGGACAGACCTACCACAGAGCTCATAGATCCTGCAATAGATACGCAAGATACCATAGATATCTCACACAATATATAACACTGTATGGTGCATAACAGATACTACATATAATTGTATACAATGTATAATATGTAATATATATGATATATAATATATGATACCTATTATATATGTACTACAGTATATGCTATATATACTACGTAATATATAATATACACAATATTATATACAATATAGATATGTATACTATAGTATATACTATATATATACTATGTAGTGTATATACTACATAGTATATACTATGTACTATACTATATAGCATGTTCTATACTATATAGTATAGTTCATTGTATATATATATGTATATAGAGTAAACTATACAGTATATATACTATATAGTATATATACAGTATATATACATACTATATAGTATATATAGTATACTATATATTTTATATAGTATAGAACATACTATATCTATAGTATATTGTATATATAGTATATCTACTTAATAATAGCATATACCATCTCTATATAAGTATTATATAATATATACTATAGTATATGGTATATCTATAGTATATATAGCATATATGCTATCTAGTGTATATATGGTATATATAGTATATACTATATATAGCATATACTATAGTATCTAATACTTATTATATCAATATAATTACATAGATATAGTATATATCTATATGTAAATACATACTCTCCATAAAGATATAGAGTATATAATATACAGTATATATCAGATATAGTATATAATAGATATATAAATATATAGATACATAATATATAGATATAGATGCAGACAAAAATGTTAATGGGATATTGACTTAGGGGGATGATATAGAAATAAACATGACTATCATACAGATAAAAATGTATGCATGCATATAAATGGAACATAGAGTTAGCAATAGAGAGATGATAGAGGCAGATGATAGAGAGCAGCTAGGCGCCGTGGCTCACGCCTGTCATCCCAGCTGCTCAGGAGGCTGAGAGCTGAGGATCACAGTTCAAAGCCAGCCCGGGCAGGAAAGTCCGTGAGACTCTGATCTCCAAGGAACCACCAGAAAACCGGGAGTGGAGCTGTGGCTCACGTGGTAGAGCGCTCACTTTGAGTGAAAGAGCTCAAAGACAGCACCCAGGCCCTGAGTTCAAGCCCCAGGACTGGCACAATAAAATAGAAGAAAAGATTTGCCTTCTCTGAAGCGTGCACTAGTGAACCCCTAACATTCATTTTAGAGAGATAAGCTTTTAGAAGTCGATCCTACTTGGTCCGTGGCTTTGGCACTCGGGAACTGTTCCCTTTATAAACAGATCAGCCCGTGATCAAACCAGTAAATCCCTTTGGTTGAGATCTAAAACGGGGGTGTTGCTCATCCAGAAACGCTCAGGGAATGAGCTCCCTTTAAGCATCCTAGAATTCAGGGCAGCGGGATTATAAGCTGTGAATGGGGGTGAGGGAGCCCCCCAACACAACTTAACACAACCATCTTTGGATTGCTTTGATTGTTTGCTTTCCCCCAGCTCAGCTTTTGGCACTGCAGGATTTCTGGATTTCCCCGAGCTGGTGCTAAGTCTCCCAGCTGTGTTCTGAGCAGCCATGAAAGGGAAGAGAGCTGTGAAATGCGGGGGGCGGGGGGTGTGGAGGGAGAGAGATGAAAATAAACACACCCCAAAATAGCCAAGGCCGGGCCACAGATCACGGTTTGAAGTGTCTCCCTCGGGCCAGAGCCCTGCCTTATTTGGAAGCAAGAGCTTCCACGTACCGGCCTGTAATCTCCTCAGAGGGACGACACTCTGTCAGCGGAATTGGGGGCGGCTGAGGCTAGAGGACTCGAGCTCTTCAAACCCCCAACAGCTCCCAAAGATGACAAACGCCCTAACTGCGAAAAGACCTTGATTCATAGGAGGACAATTTACAGCCATCTGAGTGTGTGTGTGTGTGTGTGTGTGTGTGTGTACCAGGACCGAGGCTTGCACTCCTGGGCCTCAGGAATGGCTTTCTTCACTCAAGGCTGGCGCTCTACCACTTGAGCCACACCTCCACTTCTGATTTTTCCCCCCCCCTGGTTCATGGGAGATAAAATCGCCCGAGCTTTCCTGCCCAGGCTGGCTTTGAACTGCGATCCTCAGATCTCCACCTCCTAAATCATCATGATAGGCGTAAGCCACTGGCACCCGGCTACCTCTGAATGGTATCTGGTTTTGAGCTACTTGTTAGTGGGTGTAAGCCATTGCCTGAGCCTCAAACAAACAACACACACTGCTTTTTCTCAGCCTGTAAACACGGGGGGGGGGGGACTTGGGGGAATTGTCTCATTGTCAAAGTCATAGGCAAGATGCCATACACTGCTTGTCTACCTAAGGTCTCCATTCACCAGTAGTGATTTTTGTTGCTGTTTTGCTGGTCCTGGGATTTGAACTCAGGGCCCAGGCACTGTCCCTGAGTCTCTTTGTGCTACAGGTGAGCGCTCTACCACTTGAGCCACAGCGCCACTTCTGTTTTTCTGGTGGTTCCCTGGAGATAAGAGTTTCATGGACTTTTTCTGTCCGGGCTGGCCTCAAACTGTGATCCTCACACCTCAGCCTCCTGAGCAGCTGGGACGACAGGCGTGATCACCGGTGCCCAGTTTCATGGTTATTTCAGAAGAACCATTTTATACACAGGAGCCAGCACAGCAGAAGTTGAGCACAGAGCTCTGGGGCGGGGGCTCAGGGCCTTTCCCCCTTGCTCCAGCTTCCTCGGGGGAACTCACGGGTGTTTCTAGAATCGCTCAGCCAGGAAGCCTGGCTGGGCCGGGGGCTTACCTGACAATGGCTTTCACGGCGAACCTGACCACGGTGGAGAGCAGGAAGAGCGGAGTCACCAGGATGTGGAAGAGGCAGAGCGAGGCGAAGGCCTCGGCCGGCTGCAGGTTGTTGCCGCTGGTGTAGGCGTGCGTCACGAATGTCTGGGCGAGAGGAAGAGCCCTCAGAGAGAGCAGCCACGATGTCCCCAGAGCCCTCAGACAGAGCAGCAGGGGCGCGACGTCCCCAAGGCCGGTGTGGTTTGCAGACGGGCTAGGAGGTCGTAGTAGAGTTTGTGACGTCACCGTGTGGCCGTGACGTCACAGTGGCAGTGTGATGTCAAAATGGGTTTATGATGTCACATGGGTTGGTGATGTCACCATGGGTTGGTGATGTCACAATGGGTTGGTGATGTCACCATGGGTTGGTGATGTCACATGGGTTGGTGATGTCACAATGGGTTGGTGATGTCACATGGGTTGGTGATGTCACCATGGGTTGGTGATGTCACAATGGGTTGGTGATGTCACATGGGTTGGTGATGTCACAATGGGTTGGTGATGTCACAATGGGTTGGTGATGTCACATGGGTTGGTGATGTCACATGGGTTGGTGATGTCATAATGGGTTTGTGATGTCACCATGGGTTGGTGATATCACATGGGTTTGTGATGTCACCGTGGGTTGGTGATGTCACAATGGGTTTATGATGTCACCATGGGTTGGTGATGTCACAATGGGTTTGTGATGTCACCGTTTGTGACGTCACCGTGGGTTGGTAATGGCACAATGGGTTTGTGATGTCACAGTGACATCACATGTGTTGGTGATGTCACAGCGGGTCTGTGACGTCACCGTGGGTTGGTGATGTCACCGTGGGTTGGTGATGTCACAATGGGTTTGTGATGTCACAGCGGGTTAGTGACATCACCATGGGTTGGTGATGTCACAATGGGTTTGTGATGTCACCGTTTGTGATGTCACCGTGGGTTGGTAATGGCACAATGGGTTTGTGATGTCACAGTGACATCACATGTGTTGGTGATGTCACCGTGGGTTTGTGACGTCACCATGGGTTGGTGACGTCACTGTGGGTTGGTGATGTCACCGCGGGTTTGTGACATCACCATGGGTTGGTGATGTCACCGTGGGTTTGTGACGTCACCGTGGGTTTGTGACGTCACCGTGGGTTGGTGATGTCACCGTGGGTTGGTGATGTCACCGTGGGTTGGTGATGTCACCGCGACAAGCGGGATCTCAATTTCCATCACAATGGGCACGTGAGTTCACAGAGGGACTGTGAAGTCTCCATTGCACCGACAGGAGGAAAACCGGCCTTGCTTCCACCTCCCCAACCAAAGAACGCCTGGCGCGGGTCTCCATCCCCGCTAGGAGTTGTAGGCTTGGGGGGAGGCTCCAGACACCATCGTTCCCAGGGACAGCGACCTGGCACGTGAGGCAAGGAATCCAGGCTCTTTCCAAACAAACCAATGTGTAACATGTTTGAAGAAGAGCTGGGCACCATGGCTCCCGCCTGTCATCCCAGCTGCTCAGGAGGCTGAGATCTGAGGATCGTGGTTCGAGGCCAGCCCGGGCGGGAAAGTCCGTGAGACTCTCATCTCTAATGACCCACCAGAAAACCACAAGTGGCGTTGTGGCTCAAGTAGTAAAGTATTCACCTTGAGCTGAAGAGCTCAGGGAGAGCGCCCAGGCCCTGAGTTCAAGACCCACGCCTGACCAAAAAAAAAAAGACAAAAGAAAAGCAAGTGGTAGAGAGATGAAATGATTACATATCACTCCCCACACATATCTGTGCATAAATCTGTGTGTGTGTGTGTGTGTGTGTGTGTGCGTGCACCAGCACAGCCAAGTCCACTCGCTCTCGCTTGGCTTTTCCTGCTCAAGGCTGGTGCTCTACCACTCGAGCCACACCCACGCTTGACTTTTTGCTGGAGCATGGGAAATCAGAGCCACACGGGACGTTTCCCTACTCAGGCTGGCTCTGAACCTTGGCTCCTCAGCTCTCAGCCTCCTGAGTAGCTGGGATGACAGGCAGGAGCCACCGGTGCCCGGCGATCCATCATTTTTTGATCATGGACAAAAGCAACAAGAAGAAAGACAAAAAAAATGACTTACAGCAAGGACGGCTGCGATAGGAATGGCGGCGTTCATGAAGACTGTGGAGAGAAATCCAACACGTGAGTGGGGGGGGGGATTTTAATTACTCATCCATTAATACGTTCATTTCCTCAAAGGTCCAAGTATAGTAAGGAACATTTTGGCATCCACAGACAGTTGCTCAGACTGTCTGGCATGTTATAAACTTTCCACGCTAATCTTAAGCGGAAACATTTAGCTTTCTTCTTCTTCTTTTTAAAATGTAATTGTATTTTTTTTTCTCCTTTTAGGGACCAAGGTTTAAATTCAGACATGCGCACTTGCTTAGTTAGGCTTGGCGCTCTACCACTCGATCCATACCACCAGACAGGCATTTGGCTGGTTATTTGGGAGGTGGATTCTGTGTGTGTGTGTGTTTTGAGTTCATCTCCATGAGCAGCATTTTATACGGCCATATGCACATCGCTCTTGGGCCAGCAAATGAATGTTTTTACTATTCACAAATGGTCTTATATTATAAGATTGGGTTTGGGGAAGGAATCTGTTGCCTGGAAAGAAAAAAAGTCACATGGAAAAGAAAAGCTCACTGGAGTGTACAGAGGGAGTACCCGGGTTTCAAAGGAGATAGAATGAAGAGTTTGCTCACACAGGGGTCCAGGCACCATTGTACGGATGCATTTCCTGAGAAAGACGTGGAACAAGAGAAAACTCCAACAGATGCTGTCCCCTGCCACCGAGCGCGAATCCCACGTCCTTTGGATATTTTCCCTAGTGATTTTCCCACCTTCCCAATGTTTTGTTGGCCAGTCGTGGGGCTTGAACTCAGGGCCTGGGCGCTATCCCTGAGCTCTTCAGCTCAAGGCTAGCGCTCTACCACTTGAGCCACAGCGCCACTTCCAGTTTTCTGGTGGTTTATTGGAGATCAGAGTCTCATGGACTTTCCTGCCTGGGCTGGCTTTGAACCTCGATCCTCAGATCTCAGCCTCCTGAGCAGCTGAGGTGACAGGCGGGAGCCACCAGCCCCCAGCTGAAACTTTTTATTAAATTGAAGAACTGCATATATTTGTTTTCATATTATAAGCAACAGAAATCAGGAAATATTATCCTTCAAGGAGGCAAACGAAAAGAATTTAATCTCTATTCCCCAGAGGGTCTATAGTTAATGTAAATATAAATATTATTTTTATATATACTATTTTATTATAAATTATATGTCTATAATTATTAAGTATCGTTAAAATTTGTAATATCTTTAAAAATTAAAATCAGATGTAGATATAGATATTGAGATAAATGTGGATTTTATAATAGTAATCTATATAAGTACTGGTATAAATTAATTTAAATATATGGAAATAAGGTTATTCTGCACATGTAAAGCCGTAAGAACTGGACAGCTCCCGAAGTTCACACATTCCAGCAGTGATATCCATTTTTTACTTATAGATCTTGTAGTTTCTAAGAATACTTCCATGCTGTCACCAGTGGCTCACGCCTGTAATCCATCCACTCAGGAGGCTGAGATCCCAGAATCATGGTTCAAAGTCAGCCCAGGCAGGAAGGTTCTTGAGATTCATATCTCCAATGAACCCCTAAAAAGCCAACATGGAGCTGCGGCTCAAGTGGTAGAGCGCCAACCTTGAGCGCAAACACTCAGATACCGCACATCCAGGCCCTGAGTTCAAACGCCCACACTGGCCAAAAAACAAAAGTCCTATCTCATTCAGATTTCTCATTCAGAAATAGAAGTCACTATTGTTTGATGAACAGGACACGCACAAACAGAACTAGGAAGTTCAAATTTTCAGCTAATGTGCTAATAGTGTTCGGGCAGCAGCAAAGACAAAAAGCCAAGTTGCTTGGTAGTTCTGCTTACACCTTAGAATTTCAGGGACCAAGTCACCCCACACCCACCCCCAAAAGAAAGAACTGGCACTCAACCACTTGAACCATGCCTCCAGCATGCCTTTTGGCTGGTGAGCGGGAGAAAAGCGTCTCCCCGCCCTTCCTGCCTACATTGGCTTGGAACTCCACCTCAGCCTCCTGAGTGGCTCGGATTACAGGCGTGAGCTACCGGGGTCTGCTTCAACCATAGCTGCGTTTTGAAGCCACGAAATACGGTCACTCCGTCATAACAGCAATGGAACACCCCGGGAGGGTTTTCTGCACCAATTATGCGCTCTCTGTCCTAGCTGGGTCGGGTTCAAAAGTGGCCCGGAAGATGGAGATGCCCGGCGTGGGGCCCTGGGCCTGTTCTAGGGTTTGTGTCCAATCTCACCAGCCACACATGGCTTTACCACCGGCCTAGCAAAGCCCTGGCTGGGTTTGTGCGGGGACTGCGCACCGTGTGTGCATGTGGATCCCTCTCCGTGGTCCCCGTGACTTACTGGACAGAGACGTGTACAGCGCGAAGGTTTTCAGGCTGGACAGTTCCTTCAGACGCGTCTCCTCCACGCTTCTGCAGAAAATGTGTTCCCACGCATACAGCTTCAGCAGCTTGATGCCTTTCAAGATCTCGTTGGTCTTCTTCAGTCTTTCCGTGGAATAATCCTGTCCGTATACAAGGGGTGCACTATGATCCACGCCACAAGGCCACCACAGAGACCACAGGGCCACCCACGGGACAGGAGGAAGGGGAAAGAGTCATGACAGGGCTCTGTTCCACCCCGAAGGAGACCGTCCTGGAAGAATGGCTCCAACAGCACAGAGGTGGTACCCGGCCCAAGATGGCTCCCGCCTGTCATCCCAGCTACTCAGGAGGCTGAGATCTGAGGATCGCGGTTCAAAGCCAGCCCGGGAGACTCCGATCTCCAATAAGCCACCAAAAAAAAAAAAAAGCCAGAGGTGGAGCTGTGGCTCAAAGTGGTAGGAATGAAAAATCAACCAGGCCCTGAGTTCAAGTCCCAGGACTGGCACAAAATATATATATATATACTTATATATATTTATATTTATATATATATACTTATATATATTTATATTTATATATATATATAAATAAGTATACAGAACTACGTAAATATATAAATAAAAACATGCAGACCCAAACAAGTCAAGTTTGGCTAGATTTCCCAAGGACAGTGTCCCCGCGCTTGCTACTTACAAGGGTGCTTTTCTGAGCCTCTGCCAGTTTTGTGGCAATGAAGTACTGAATGGGAGCAAGAAGGACAATTACAGCCGCTCCAACCAGGGCGCTGGATCCAAGCAGGTTGTAGAGCAAAATCACCCCCATGATGATCTAGAAAGGAAACATATATGGCGGAGAAAAATCCGCAGGGTTGGGAGAGCTGGTGTTCAAAAGGAAGTGTCTTCAGGAGAAGGTAGCATTTCTCCTCCTAAGCAGATTGCATTTCATTTGGAAGCCAACTGTTGATACCACCGTCATGAGAGCTGCATGACCAGTTCTTAACCGATCGATTGCACCAAGTTACCAAGTAGCCCCATGACGCTTTGGGATCTTATAAAGTGATGGTCAGTTCTAAAAAGAACCTTCTGGGAAAACATTGTCACCCTCCATAGATTTGACCCCTAAGAAAGAGCCATGCGTAGAGAATTTCACTGTTGGCAAACACAGAGAAATTGAACCTCTGTTGGAACCCGAGCAGTGTAATTTCAAATCCTACTTCGCTCATCGACGCCATCTTGTTCCTGAGTTTTTTTGGTTCCTTGACAACCAAAATATCCTCCTTTGGCCTCATTGTGTGACTATCTAGAGACCGGTGTATTTTTTTCTAAATCATTCAGGGTGTTTACTTGTAAATTGATAGACGTATTTCAGTTACCACAAGTGAGGGAAAAAACCACACAGCCTATGTTTCTTTAAGTCTGGCTTACTCCACTTCCTTACAAATGGGGTAATGTCATTCTTTCTGATGGAAGCATAGAATTCCATCGGGCTTATATACCACATTTTCTTGATCCATTCAGCCACAAGGGTTGTCTGATCTGATTCCATATCTTGGCTATGGTAATCAATACTGCAATGAACATGGTTGTGCTGGTGGCTTTAGTGCAGCCTGGTTTGTGGTCATTTGAATAAATGCCCAGCAGTGGGATTGCTGGGTCCTAGGGGAGCTCTATGTGGAGGTTTTTGAGGAACCTCCATACTGCTTTCCAGAGGGGTTGAACAAGTTGACACTCCCACCCACAGGGCCAAAGAGTTCCCTTTTGGCCACATCCCCACCAGCATCTGTTATTGTTATTCTAACTAGGGTGAGGTGGAATCTCAATGTGGTTTTGATTTGTGTTTCTTTTATGGCCAGCGACGTCGAGCATTTTTTCCTGTGTCTCTTGGCCATGCTTACTTCTTCCTCTGAGAAGTCTCTCTTTGAGTCTTTAGCCGATTACTTAATTGGGCTGTTGAGTTATTGATGGTTTATTTTGGGGGGTGGGTGTAATTTTTTCTGAGGCCAAAGGAGGATAGACCTAGGATTGGTTACCCAAAGCTCAGCAGCCACACGCCTATGATCATATAAAATAATATCTTAGGAAGTGAACTCCAAGGAAAGGAAACAAGAGATTTGATTTGTTGCTGTTGTTTTCTTTTCTTTTCATTCTGTTTGTTCATTTCTGTGTCTTTGGGAAGGGCACAGAAATGGAGGGACAGAGGGGAAACCAAGGCAGCCGTGGTCCTCACTGGACAACATGTGGAGAATGAACTCCACCACTCGTGGGTGGGGACTGGAGGAAAACACTGGGGGAGAGAGCGAGGGAAGGGGGGACAGGGTCCAAAAAGAATTGTATTTTCATGACAATTATGACCCCTCTGTAATAACCTTTGCAATAACAGTAATGTATGCATTTTTGGAAAGCATCATTCAAAAATTGTTGCTTTTTGCAAGGCACCTGTGGCTCCCGCCGGTCATCCCAGCTACTCAAGAGGCTGAGATCTGAGGATCATGGTTCAAAGCCAGCCCGGGCAGGAAAGTCCCTGAGACTCTGATCTCCCATGAACCACCAGAAAACCAGAAGTGGCACTGTGGCTCAAGTGGTAGAGCACCAGCCTTGAGTGAAAGAGCTCAGGGATAGTGCCCAGGCCCTGAGTTCAAGTCCGGGGACACACACACACACACACACACACATGGAAATAGTGTTGCTTTGTTCCTTCTGTTTGTTTGTTTTCTTCTGCGAACCAGACTGTACCTGCAGTTGACTTACCTGGACGGGCATGGCCCACAAATTGGGACACAGAAAGAGGAACCACATGAGTTGGTTGGTTTCTATAGCAACCAGGTTGTTGACCTGGCCCAAGGTCATTTCACCCATGGACAAGTTCGAAGTAGAGAGCCTCAGGATTTTATTATAGATCATGGCCTACAAAGAAAACACCACAGGGGACATAAGCCTCCCAACCTCAAATCCACATCGCCATTATTTACTTTCATTGTAAACAAACAAACAAACAACGAAAACAGTATCAGCCAGGCGCCAGTGGCTCCCGCCTGTCGCCCCAGCTACTCAGGAGGCTGAGATCTGAGGATCAAGGTTTGAAGCCCAGCCCAGGCAGGAAAATCCAGGAGACTCTCATCTCCAACGAACCAGCTAAAAGCTGCAAGTGGAGGTGTGGTTCGGGTAGTAGAACGCCAGCCTTGAATGGTAAACAAAAAGCCAAGGAAGGGTGAAAGGCTCGGAGTTCAAGCCCCGGGTCTGGCATTTTTTTAAGACATGTAGTTTAATAAAATGAAGAATGGAATTGGGGTGCACTAAGGTTGTCTTCTTAAAGCAGCCGCTATTTCTATTAGTATAGTTACTCTTTTGTTCTCAATAACATACCAACTTATTTTTTCTAACAGTTTAAGCAAAATCTGCATTCAGTTTCAAACAGAAGCTCAAGTTCTCTACATATTTTTAATTGTGTGTGTGTGTGTGTGTGTGTGTGTGTGTGTGTGTGTGTGTGTTGGTCCAGGGGCTTGAACTCAGGGCCTACGTGCTGTCTCTGATCTCTTTTGCTCAAGGCTGGTGCTCTACCACTTGAGCCACAGCTCCACATCTGGCTTTTTGCTGGTTCATTGGCAATAGGAGTCTCACAGACTTTCCTGCCCAGGCTGGTTTGGCCAGATCTCAGCCACCTGGGTAACTGGGGTGACAGGCATGAGCCACGGGCACCCGGCTTTTATTCGTCTTTGAAAGTCAGTCTGCTTCTTTCATGAAGCAGATCCTAGAAATGTTGTCGTTATGATAAGAAAGTGAAAATACATTTAAAAGAAAGAAGAGCTAGGCTAGCTGGGTGCTGGTGGCTCCCGCCTGTCATCCCAGCTACTCAGGAGGCTGAGATCTGAGGATCGAGGTTCAAAGCCAACCTGGGCAGGAAAAGCCATGGAACTCTTATTCCAATAAACAACCAGAAAACCAGAAGTGGCACTGTGGCTCAAGTGGTAAAGCACCAGCCTTGAGCTGAAGAGCTCAGGGATGGCACCCAGGCCCAGAGTTCAAGCCCCACACATAGCCAACAACAACAACAACAAAAGCCAGGTGCCAGAGGCTCACACCAGAGATCTGAAGATCACAGTTCAAAGCCAGCCTGGATAGGAAAGTCTGTGAGACTCTTAATTATCCATCAAAAAGCTGGAAGTGGAGCTGTGGCTTAAAATGGTAGAGCACTAGCCTTGAGCAAATGAGCTCAGGGACAGCACCCAGGACCCGAGTTCAAGTCCCAGGCCTGGCATAATAATAATAATAATTTTGAAAGCCTGAGCTAAGGTCCAGTGGCTCCCACATCTGCCATCCTAGCTACTCAGGAGGCTGAGATCCAGAGGATCACAGTTCAAAGCCAGCCCAGGAAGATGGTGAGGTTTCAAAAAGCCAGGCTGGAGGCATGGTTCAAATGGTAGAGTACCAGCCGTGAGCCAGAAAGCGGATCAAGAGCACCAAGTCTCGAGTTCAAGTCCCAGTAACAGCATCGTCAAGAAACAAAGACCCTTCAGGGCTTGGCTTGTGCTTACCAGCAGGGCACCCCGGAGGTTGATGCCTGTTTGTATGGTCACATAGTAAGATGCTTGCAAAAATGTCCTTTGCAGAATTAAGGCCAGGAAAAGCAGAACAGCTAAGACATAAGCGTTCTCAAGAAATTCCTTGGAGGAGAGGGTTTTTGAAATCTTGTGGCAAAGGAGGAGAAAGAAAAAGGAAAACAAATTAAAACGGATCTTTTCACCTACCAGGAACATAGTTTGCGCTTATAAAACAGCACCGGTGGCTCCCGCCTGGCATCCCAGCCACTCAGGAGGCTGAGATCTGAGGATCGGGGTTCGAAGCCAGCCCCAGGCAAGAAAGTCTCTAACACTCTTTTCTCCCGTGAACCACCAGAAAAGCCAGAAGTGGAGCTGTGGCTCAAAAGGGAGAGCACCAGCCTGGAGTGAAAAAGTTCGGAGACAGTGCCCAGGCCCTGAGTTCAAGCCCCAGGACCAGCACACACTCAAAAAAACAAACAAATACATAAACAAACCTACTGTTACAAAATAGGTGAACACAATTTTAACCAGCTGATGCTTCTAAGTATAAAATACTTCCTAGGAAAAGCGGTTTTAGAAGAAGAACCTTGCTCCTCTAGATTTAAGATTCTGCAAACATGAACCCCCAGCACCTGGAAATTGTGATTTTTTTTAAAAAATTAACCTATATTTATGAGTAATTCCAACAGGCTGACAGTTACAGAAAACTGAGTAACTTTTAAGAACAAAACGAGTCGTTTTCCTCATGGAGAAAATCAAGTTTTTATATTTACCAACTTATCTGGCCAGACCATTTATTTTATTTATTTCTCAGATTCAGCGCCCACTAATATTTAATCAGCCTCTATCATGTGACAGGAACTCTATTTCACCTTTTTTTTTTTTTTTTTGGTCAGTCCTGGGGCTTGAACTCAGGGCCTGGGCACTGTCTCTGAGCTCTTTCATTCAAGGCTGGCGCTCTACCACGTGAGCCACAGCGCCACTTCCGGTTTTCTGGTGGTTCCTTGGAGATCAGACTCTCAAGGACTTTCCTGCCCAGGCTGGCTTTGAACCGCAGTCTTCCAGATCTCAACCTCCTAAGTAGCTGGGATGACAGGCGTGAGCCACCAGTGCCCGGCTGATCATTCTGGGGTTTAAACTCAAGACTTCATACTTCTGAAGCAGGTATTCCTTGAGCCACATGCCCAGTCCTGTCTTTCTGCTTCAGTTCTTTGTCAGATGGGGTTTTGTATGTCTATATGGGACTCAGACTGTAGTCCTCCTATTTATACATTCTGTATATGTGGGATTGCAATCAGGAGCCACCACACCCAACATGGTTGTTGAGATGGGGGCAGGGATCTTGCTAACTTTTGAGGGGGCCTGGGCCAGCATCAAATCGTAGATAGAGTTGTTGTCTTATTTTGAAATCACCAGCAAAAAGCAGAGCTGGAGGTCTGTGTGAGCGGCAGAGCACCAGGCCTGAGCACGCAAACCGAATCCCACGAGGTCTGGGGTTCGAGACCGCCCCCCCCCCGTAAGAACAGCAACAACAAAAATGGCAGACCGCGACTGCCACACAATCTGCTTCTTTTCTGCAGCCTGGCACACTTACGCCGGTGGCGTTGACAGTCCTGTTCTGTGTGTCGTTCACGCGCTGGACTATGCCGGAAATACAGAGAGGACCCGCGAAGCCCAGAAGGTCGGCCAGGTAGCGAAACGTGCTGCTCAGAAGAATGGGCCGGCCGAAAGCTCTGTACATCGCCAGCCAGATAGACGGGGTCCGATTCGGATGATCTGCTACTTTCTTCTGAAAAACCAAACCAAAAACGAGGTAGGGTCCTGTCCAACTTCCAACCAGGAGCTCACGCCTGCCATCCCAGCTACTCAGGAGGCTGAGATCTGAGGATCACGGTTCGAGGCCAGCCCAGGCAGGAAAGTCCATGAACCACCAGAAAACCGGACGTGGAGCTGTGGCTCAAGTGGTAGAGCACCAGCCTTGAGTGAAAGAGCTCAGGGACAGCGCCCAGGCCCTGAGTTCAAGTCCCAGAACACACACACACACACACAAGTCAGAGTATTAACTACGAAAAAGCCATAAGTGAAGGTGTGGCTCAAATGGTAAGAGCATCTGCCTTGAGTTGAAAAGCAAAGCAAGACTGTTCGCAATAGCTAGGATATGGAAACAACCCAGATGCCCCACCACAGATGAATGGATCCAAAAATTGTGGTATCTCTACACAATGGAATATTATGCAGCCATTAGAAATGACAAAATAATGGCATTTGCAGGGAAATGGATGGAGCTAGAAGGAATCATGTCGAGCGAGGTAAGCCAAGAACGAAGAGACAAACGGTACATGGTCTCCCTGATAAGTGGATGCTAAATCCAAAATGTTAGGTGATACGACAAAACTAACAGGACTTAAGAAACAAAGAACTCCTGCTCATCTGGTCGAACCACTACTAAATATTCCCACGCTGCTGATCACATGTATGGTGTATAACATGTGAACACCGTGATATATTACAGACTGTGATAGACAATTTGCTCCAGGAAAGTTAGAATGAACTTGTGACTTTAAATGAGCATCATTATTCCACAATACTGTGAAATTCGGGAAATTATGTAATCACTTAATCACAATAAAAAAAAAGAACTTCGGGGAAGGGAGGGAGGGAGGGGATGGTAGGGGGAAAACAATGGAGGGGCTAACAATGTTCAAGAGGAAGTGTACTCATTACCTCACTCATGTACCTGTAACCCTCTGTATAGTATCTTTACAATAAAAAAAAAAGCAAAGCAAGGGGGTGAGGCCCTGAGTTCGAGTCCCAGTACCAACACCAAAGAAATCAAATAAAAATGCTTCTAAGACTCAACACAGCCCGGGTTGGAACCGATGAACTAGCTTCACGGATTTCATGGAGCTGCAAGGTGCCAGATGGTAAATTCCCCCCTTCAAAGGCGGCGGTTTTGCTCTTTTCTAGAATCTATCCAATGCCACAGCATTAGCTCACTGGATGGAAGCAAGCAGTACGGAGTACAACTTCTCCATCTCCACCATAAATCATGACTTTGGCAGGGAAGTTATTATGTAACACTTTTCTCCAGAGACCCTAAAGAGTTGACATGGGTTCATTTCTGGTTTGCTGGCATTTCAGAGCACAGATTTTTTTTTTCTTTTTTGGATGCACAAAGTCATTTTCGTCATTTACTATAAATGTTTTGTACAGCATACTTTAGAACAGCTAATAATAATAATAACAACAACAACTAACCTTCACTAGATCCATTGCTTTCCTCTTCAAAGACCCTGTGCTCTCAGTGGATGGTTACAATGATGAAGCATTTTGAGACACAATTGGAAGGGACTAGTGGTATTGAAGATTCTTAAAGCAATGAAAGACACCATAAAGTTCCAGAAGGAACCGACAGGTTGTTTTGTTCTTATTTTTGTTTTTGAAATGAGTGTCTGGCAGTCTTTGCCCAGATCCTCCCGTCTTTGCCTCCAAAGATAAGGAATTAAAGGAATGAGCCACAGGGCAGGGGTCCAAATAAACCAGTTTTAGAAACATGGAGGATGACACACAAAATAAATAAACCGCACCGTACTGAATTAGGTTTCCCAACTTTACACTACAGAATTAATCTTAGCTGATCGCTGGAGGACTGATTCACAGTGTTTGGTAGTGAATATGAACTTTTTTTTTTTTTTTGGTCAGGCGTGGGACTTGAACTCAGGGCCTGGGCACCATCCCTCAGCTCTTCAGCTCAAGGCGGGTGCTCTACCCCTTGAGCCACGGCACCACTTGCGGTTTTCTGGTGGCTCATTGGAGATCAGAGTCTCATGGACTTTCCTGCCCAGGCTGGCCTTGAACCACGATCCTCAGACCTCAGCTTCCTGAGTGTCTGGGATGACAGGTGTGAGCCACAGTGCCCGGCTCAGCCCAACTCTTTAACACTGTGGTCACAAGGCTAAAAAGTACCTTCTGCTCTTCATAGGCATCTTTCAAGCAGACGTAATTGGTGACCGCCCGCATGGCTATGGGCAGTTTCCCGATGGCCTTCAGATCGATGGGCTTCTTGTGAGCGGAGATGATGAGCGTGTTCATCCACCAGTACGTGGCTTTGGAGAGCAAATTCACGAAGGGCTGCAGGAATCTCACGCCCAGGTCCTGCAGGTCTTCGGGCGGCTTCACCTTCTGGGGATTCGTAAAGAAGACGTACTTCTGTGGCAGAGAGGAGTCCCACAGAGCCATTGTTACCCGAGAGCGTCTCCATTTGGAAAGTCACGTTTCACTTTTGGTCAGTCCTGGGACTTGAACTCAGAGCCCGGGTGCTGTCCCTCAGCTCTTCAACTCAAGGCTGGCGCTCTACCACTTGAGCCACAGCACCACTTCAGGTTTTCTGGTGGTTCATGGGAGATCAGAGTCTCATGGACTTTCCTGCCCAGGCTGGCTTTGAACCGCCATCCTCAGATCTCAGCCTCCTGAGTGGCTGGGATGACAGGCGTGAGCCACGGGTATCTGACTGGAAATCTCTAAGGTCTTAAAACTGGACGCTGGGTGGTAAGTCAACCTCATATTTGCCCACACACCCTCGTGTGCGTGCTATTGAGTCTGGGTCATTTCGGGCTGACTGTCCTGTTTGTTGGAGGCCCGGAAGAGCCCGGAAAAGCATGCAATACTCACTCGGACCCGGATGACGTTGATCTCCACGGCCATCAGCAGCCCGTTCAGGATCACCATGATGCCCGTGATGCAGAAGCGAAGATCGGACACGCCCCACCCCGACTGCCAGTATTTCACCAATTTTATTGTTTTGGTAATAAAGGCCATCACCCAATACAGGAACAAGGCTGAAAAAGAGAGCGCGGGGGAAGTGGTTTTTGAGGGCTTGTTGTTTGTTTTGTCCGTCCTGGGTCTTGAACTCTGGGCCTGGGCGCTGTCCCTCAGCTCTTCAGCTCAAGGCTGGCGCTCTACCACTTGAGCCACAGCACCACTTCTGGTTTTCTGAGTGGTTCATGGTAGATCAGAGTCTCATGGACTTTCCTGCTCAGGCTGGCTTTGAACCCTGATCCTCAGATCTCAGCCTCCTGAGGGGCTGGGATGTCAGGGGGGAGCCACCTGCGCCCAGCTGTTTTTAAAAAGAAAAAGAAATCTCTCCTTGAAATTTAAATTTTTTCCCACTAGTATCTAAATACCATAATAATGCTTTCAAGTGGCAAAGCAGCTGGGCCCAGCTACTCAGGAGGCCGAGATCTGAGGATGGAGGTTCGAAGCCAGCCAGGGCAGTAAACGTCCATGAGACATTTAGCTCAACATCAAAAAAAATAGGCTGGAAGTGGCGCTGTGGCTCAAGTGGTAGAGCGCCAGCCTTGAGTGAAAGAGCTCAGGGACAGCGGCCAGGCCCTGAGTTCAAGCCTCAGGATTGGCACAAAAAAAGGGAAGGGAAAAAGAAGAAAGAAATAGCAAAAGCTAGTATTCTACTTGCAAGGAATGCTAAGGGGTCAATTGGCAATGTTCCACAGGTGAATATTCCTTTTTCTCAACACCATTGGTTGAAGAAAAGCTGTCTTTTCTGCACTGTATATTTTGGATTTGGGGGACGGGAGAGTTGGTGCCAGTCTTGGGGCTCAAACTCGGGGCCTAGGCACCGAGATTCAGGCATTTCCAGTAAGCAAAACAAAACAAAAAGAAAAGGAAGATCTGCATTACATAGGGACCTCAGTTAACTTTAACTTTTGTTGTTGTCAGTCATGGGGCTTGAACTCAGGGCCTGGGCGCTGTCCCTCAGCTCTTCAGCTCAAAGCTAGGGTTCTACCACTTGAGCCACAGCACCACTTCTGGCTTTTTCTGCTTATGGGGTGCTGAGGAATCGAACCCAGGGCCTCATGCATGTGAGGCAAGCGCTCTACCACTGAGCCACCTGCCCAGCCAAGGTGAGCAATAAGACAGGGGTAGATGAGCATGTTAGAGGTATGTGTGCTTAGCTAGAAGCCTTAACAAGCTGGCGTTAATGATAAGTCCATTTCCAAGATGACCGGTCGCACCGTCAATATGTGAAATCAACTGCGTTTCATGCAATGCCCCAAACAACCGGCAAGTCCGATGGGAAGGACAACGCCATTCCCAACAGCAGCAGGGAAGAACCAAGTGATCATAAAATGTCTGCAGGCCGAGCACTGATGCCCTTCCTTTAATCCCAGCGACTCGGACGCTGCCATCTGAAGATCTCAGTTTGAAAGCCGGCCGGGAGAGACAAATCTGAGAGACGCTTTCCTCCCTTTGCTTAGCAGGAAGCCCGAAGTGGAGCTGTTGGCTCAAGTGGTAGAGCACCACCAGCCTGGGGGGGAAAAGCTGAGAGACTGAAGTCCTGAGTTCAAGTCCTGACACCATCACACACACACACACACACACACACACACACACAAATAACCAGACATGTGACCTCTTCTATACAGAAAAAAGAAGTCCATCTATACATCCAGCGAAGAGAAATGAGTGAGCTGGGGCTAAATAGAGAGTAAGTTGGGTCTTGGGATCGTTGAGGCTCACCTAGAAGAAGTTTAGGGAAGTTGGATGTTTCGATGTTGTGGTAATAGACTATCGAGGTGGTTGTGGCCACAAACCCCATCACCGCCGGCATGAACAAGTGCAGATGTCTAGAGTCCCGCCGGCTAGGAGAACAAAGCACAGTCTGTTTGTGTTGGTTTCTTTTTGCCAGTCCTAGGACTTGAACTCAGGGCCTGGGCGCTGTCCCTGAGCTCTTCAGCTCAAGGCTGGCGCTCTACCACTTGAGCCACAGCGCCACTTCCCGTTTTCTGGTGGTTCATTGGAGATCAGAGTCTCGGGGATTTTCCTGCCCGGGCTGGCTTTGAACTGCGATCCTCTGAATCTCAGCCCCTGGGGTGGCTGGCAGGGGAGGCGGGAGGCGCCGGTGCCCAGTGGGTTTCTCATTTTCTTTGCAATTGTATTTTATTTTATTCACAGAAAGTCACTTCTCTCAAAGAATCAACAAGCCCACGAGTAACTGGCAGAAAAGCTGAGCAGACACTTCTTGAAGAAGCGCAGACACCCAGGAAATAGTGTGGTCAGGAAATACTGACCACAAAGGAAATGCTAAGTCAAACTACAGAGGGAGGAGGGAGGAGGGAAGAGGAAGGAGGGAAGGAGGAAGAGAGGAAGATTTAAAAAAGAGGAAGGAGAGGAAGGAGGGAGGAAAGGAAGAAAGGAAGGAAGAAGAGAGAATGGGAAGAAAGGAGGGATGCAAAGAGGAAGGGAGGGAATGAGGGAGGGAAAGGAGGGAGAGAGGGAAGAAAGGAGCGAGGGAGGGGCTGGGCAGGTGGCTCAGCGGTAGAGCGCTTGCCTTGCATGCCTGAGGCCCTGGGTTCAATTCCTCAGCACCACATAAGCAAAAAGAAAAAAGCTGGAAGTGGTGCTGTGGCTCACGTGGTAGAGCGCTAGCCTTGTATGCCTGAGGCCCTGGGTTCCATTCCTCAGCACCACGTAAGCAAAAAAGACAAAAGCCTGAAGTGGCGCTGTGGCTCAAGTGGTAGAGCGCCAGCCTTGAGCTGAAGAGCTGAGGGACAGCGCCCAGGCCGAGTTCAGGCCCCACGACCGGACCAAAAAAAAGAAAGGAGAGAGAAGAAAGGAGGGAGGGAGGAGAATGGGAAGAAAGGGGGAGGGAAGGAGGGAGGGAGAGAGGGAAGAATGGAAGGAGGGAAGGAGAAAGGGAGGGAGGGAGGGAGGGAGGGAGGGGGCGTATTCTATGTCACACAGCACAAGCGTGAGGAAAGAGCTGAGCAGGTGGGTGGGTGTGTGCAGCAGTCATGCCTGGAGGATCTGGGTGGTGGTGGGTGGTGGTGGTGATGGTGGTGGTGGTGGTGGGTGTTGGGGTGCGGCGGCCGGGCTGCGGCTGGGTCTGGGGTGAGACACCAACACGTGTGCAGCGCCCGCCGCGCATGCAAACACGCACAGAGCGTCCATCCCCTCAACAGAAAACCACAAACAATGCAGGACAGAGCTTCCGGCAGAGAAGACGGGGCTTCCGTAGCTTCTTCATCAACAACAACAACACACTTCCCATCCCTACCCCCCCTTCAATGAAAAGCTGAGTGCAACCCTCCTTCCTCCCTGCTTCCCTCCTTCCCTCCCTCCCTCCCTTCTTTCCCTCCCTTCCTCCCTCCTTTCTTCCCATTCTGCTTCCTTCCTTCCTTCCTTTCTCTTTCTTCCTTCCTTTCTCTTTCTTCCTTCCTTTCTCTTTCTTTCTTTCTTTCTTTCTTTCTTTCTTTCTTTCTTTCTTTCTTTCTTTCTTTCTTTCTTTCTTTCTTTCTTTCTTTCCAGACCAGGATTCAAACTCAGTACCTCATCAGCTGGTATAATTTCAAAACCCAACATATAACTATTACTTGACTTGATTGTTTATTGCAGGAAACAAATAGGAATCCTACGTGGGTGATCATAACCGCGATTCTGTCTATCTGCCTGCCTCCTGAGAACATTTATAAAGGCAAAACGCCATACAAATGTGAGTTTCTGGCCGGTCTTGGCTTTCCAGTAGGTGCTGGCTTTCCCTTAATCTGTGGGTCTGCACTAGTTCCTTCACCACATCCTTCCTGTCTCGTCCATCTTTGCTGCTTCTGCGAAAGAAATCCCAGTGTTGATCTGAGAACTCCTTAGTAAATTAAAATACAAATCTAACACTATCACAGCAGCCGGGCGCTGGGGCTCCCACCTGCCATCCCAGAGACTCAGGAGGCTGAGAGCCGAGGCTCAAGGTTCAAGGCCAGCCCAGGGAAAGAAAGTCTGTGGGACTCTGATCTCCCGTGAACCACCAAAAAGCTAGAAGGGGCGCTATGGCTCACGTGGTAGAGCGCCAGCCTTGAGTGAAAAAGCTCAGCTAGATGGTGAGGTCCTGAGTTCAAATCCCAATACTGGCACAAAATAAAAAACAAAACCCACCTACGCATATGTCTGTGCGCATGCATGTGTCTGTGCGTAACATCTATATGTAAATGCATGTGCGTAATATGACGCATACACACGTACATATATGTATACACACACGCATACATACACGCCAACGGTCTTTGTATTTACACCTAACGTTACAGATCAGGGCACAAGGACGTGTGCAAAAGGACAGGACGTTCCCCAGGCTCAGAAGGAGCCGAGTCAGGAAGCAAAGACGTGGAAAGCACAGGTGAGAAATGCAGACACCACCCCAAACACACACCATCCCCAAACACACACCACCCCAAACACAGACATCACCCCAAACACACACCACCCCCACACACACCACCCCCCAAACACACACCGTCCCCAAACACAGACACCACCCCAAACACACACCGCCTCACCACACACACACCACTCCAAACCCAGACACCACCCCCAAACACAGACACCCCACACACAGACACCCCAAACACATACCACCCCACACATATCACCCCCAAACACACACACCACCCCAAACACACACCACCCCGCACACCCCCTCGTGCGTCCTGCAGGACCTGTGAGCGCTGCTCTTGCCGCCAGCCAGGGCCCCAGTGCTACTGCTTCTGGCTGCTAGAGGCCTCAGTTTACCTCCCAATGCCGGGAAAGACCTCGTGACCCCAGACACCCCCAGGACCGGCCCCGCGCCCCCGGACCCTCCAGGACCGGCCGGCGGCCGCTGAGCCCAGCACTCACGAGTCGGACACGACGCCCTCGGCCATCTCGCACACGTGCATGAAGAGCAGCGCGAAGGTGAGGATCCAGCGCAGGTTGTGGCCGGGAAAGTGCAGCCAGGTGTTGTGATGAATCTGCACCTTGGAGCTCTGGCTGCCCCACCCTGAGGGGGGGAGGGAGGGGGAGGGGAGGGGGAGAGAGGGAAGGAGAGAAACGTCAAAACTAGCTGAAACAAAAGCTTCCTGACGATCACGCAGGACTCAACTGACACCGTCATTCCCCCTTCGAGATAAAAAGGATGGTCATTATAGATGTAATTGCACAACGTGTCACCTACGCGCCACCAATTTATGTTCATTCTATTATCTGTGTATGTAATAACTAGGTATAGAATAAGTAGTTATATAATATATATTTCTTTCTTATTATTTGGTGCCGGTCATGGGTCTTGAACTCAGGGCCTGGGCACTGTCCCTCAGCTCTTCAGCTCAAGGCGAGCGCTCTACCACTTGGGCCACAGCGCCACTTGTGGCTTTTTCTGTGTCTGTGGTACTGAGGAATTGAACCCAGGGCTTCATGCATGCAAGGTGAGCACTCTACCACTGAGCCACCTGCCCAGCCCTAATGTATATGTATACATACATATATGTGTGTGTGTGTGTGTATATATATATTATTATTGTGATGACAAAGGTGACCGGCAGAGAGGTGACAGTGACATCACTCAGGTCATGAGCGCATGTCTCTGTGGACCCTGTCCCCCCTTCCCTCGCTCTCTCCCCATTTTTCCCTCCCGTCCCCACCCACCAGTGGTAGAGTTCATTCTCCACCTGGTGTCCAGTGAGGACCACGGCTGCCTTGGTTTCCCCTCTGTCCCCCCATTTCTGTGTCCCCCTCACCCTCCCAGAGACAGAGAAACCCACCCAGGAGACAAAATAAAACAAAAATATCAAAAAAGAAGAAAACTATTGTTTCCATTTCCTGGCGCTGATATCGATAGGCATTTGTGCCTTTCTGTTCCTCTCCTAAGAGAATCCTCTTTCGGTCTCGCTGTGTGTGAAATATATAACGCATGTAAAAATGATGTTTCATATAAATATTTATACATATGGATTTACGATGACAGATACATTGGTAGATAATGAACTTAAATACGTGTAAATATATAATACATTTGTTATAACATATTCTATCCATGATATATAAATATGTATGCTTGCGATATTTACGGTAACAAATTCTAATAACTATTCTTATTATAATACATCACTCACTGCATGGTTTGGAGAAGTTTCTGGAACCTGAGTACTTCTAAAGTAACAGGGGAAATTCTAGGTCATTCTCACGATATTCGGAAGCAAACAAGGAACCAGCGGAGCACCAGTGGCTCCCGCCTGTCATCCCAGCTACTCAGGAGGCTGAGATCTGAGGATCCAGGTTCAAAGCCAGCCCGGGCAGGAAAGTCCGTGAGACTCTGATCTCCCATGAACCACCAGAAAACCAGAAGTGGTGCTGTGGCTCAAGTGGTAGAGCACCTGCTTTGAGTGCAAAAGCCAAGAAAGAGGGGAGACTCTGAGCTCAAGCCCTGACACACACACGTGCAAGTGCACACAGTCATACACACGCAGGATAACCCTTTGACCTCAGTTTGGCAAACACTCCAGCATTTATTTGTTGCACTATTCAGAAAAGCAAGCCTGAGTGTGCACATGTGTGTCACAGACACCAGCAGCTCCTACTGATAGATTTCTGACTCACTCCACAACAGAAAAGTTGATCAATGGAAATTTGATGTCTCCAGCCCTTTCTCTCTCTCTCTTTTTTTTTTGGTCAGTTGTGGGGCTTGAACTCAGGACCCGGGCGCCGTCCCTGAGCTTTTTAACCCAAGGCTGGTGCCCTACCACTTGAGCCACAGCGCCACTTCCAGTGTTTTGAGTGGTGAATTGGAGATCAGAGTCTCACTGGGACTTTTCCACCTCGGGCTGGCTTCGAACCATGATCCTCAGATCTCAGGCCCCTGGGTCGCTGGGATGACAGACGTGAGCCACAGCACCTGGATTTTAAAGAACGGAATTGGTTGGGGAAATGGACGGTTGAGTAAAAAGTGGACAGGTTTCCCCCTTAAAATGAGAATAATACCTCAATTATGGAGTGTTAGGAAATAACCCAGTTTGTTCTCCTTTTCTCCTTCTTTTTTGACTATAGAAGAGACTAACATATTTGAAGAATGTTCCAGAATGCATGCTTGTAGAAAGAATTTCCCCTATGGGGGGAAAAAAAACCACCCTAAAACATTCTTTGAAAAGAACATTGAATCATGCTTTCGTTGTTTCCAAATGTACTTTGGCATCGAAGGGATACTTAACATAGTCTCCTAAAATTTCATAAACTCTTCGATGCGCGTATGGTCTTGCCTGGGGCATTTTTATATCTTCCTGACACTATCGTGAGATTTCTATATAATCCCTCACTGGCGTAGGCAGCCTGAGCAGTTAGTAGTGTAAGTGCTCGTTAGCAATCACAGCATGCTTTTTTCTACAGCCTTTTAACAAGGTTCATTTCAGGTTCTTTCTGCTTAAAGATCTTTCTTTTTCACCAGCCTCTGTTCTTAGATTAAATAGAGACGCTCACAAGCTTAGCCTTCAACGAGTTGACTGGGAATCAAGAAACAAATTGTTCCTGTCATCCCAGCTACTCAGGAGGCTGAGATCTGAGGATCGTGGTTCAAAGCCCGCCTGGGCAGGAAAGTCCGTGGGACTCTCATCTCCAATGAACCACCAGAAAACCAGAAGTGGCGCTGTGGCTCAAGTGGTAAAGCGCCAGCCTTGAGCAGAAAGAGCTCAGGGACAGCGCCCAGGCCCTGAGTTCAAGCCCCAGGAGCAGCAAAAGTATGTATATATATGAAGTATTTATATATATTTATATATGTGTATATATAATTTTATGTATATATATATATATGAAGTACATATCATGGGACTTGAACTCAGAGCCTGGGCACTGTCCCTGAGCTCTTTCACGAAAGGTTAGCACCCTACCACTTTGAACCACAGCGCCACTTCTGGTTTTCTGATGGTTCACTGGAGATAAGATCTCACTTCCCACCCGGGCTGGCTTTGAACCTTGATCCTCCGATCTCGGCCTCCAGAGTAGCTGGGAGGCCAGGCAGGAGCCACCAGCCCCCAACGACAGCTGTATTTTGTGAGAGGTTAAGGTGGGGGGAAGGCAGTGGCTGGGAAATGGTAGGCAGAGCGAGTCTCTTTTCCTCCCAAGCTCCATTCTTTCAGATGAATCGCTGGCCATTGTATTCTTGATCATCTTATAGAGCGTAAGGACAGCTTTATAATATTTAAAAAGCAAAAGGATCTACTTTGTTTCTTTGGAGGAAATGACACCAAACTGCCCTAAATCATTGGATTCTTGTTATCATTCTGCCAGTGGTTAAACCCTAGGGGAAACTATATTACCAACTCATTTCCAGATACTTTTCATGTATATTATTTTTACCTAAAACACCCTCACTCACACCTATTTTTTAACTTCAAGTCCCCGAACAGCTCACTCCATGGCGGGGGGGGGGAGCTGGGGGGGGTCTTGAACTCAGGGCCTGGGCGCTGCCCCTGAGCTTTTGTGGCTCAAGGCTGGCGCTCTACCACTTGAGCCACAGCGCCACTTCCAGTTTTCTGGTGGTTCCTGGGAGATCAGAGACTCATGGACTTTCCTTTCCGGGCTGGCTTTGAACCGTGATCCTCAGCTCTCAGCCTCCTGAGTCGCTGGGATGACAGGTGGGAGCCACCAGCGCCTGACTTGTTCTCTTTTCTTTCTGCTTCGCCCTGGCAGATTGACTCTGGGGATAATCAATTGGGGGATTTATAAATGGGCCGGCAATGTGGTATTGTCATCCCTCCACCTCTCCAGCCATTTCTGCTTCTCTGGACAATTCAGTACAGCCTAGTACTCCATACACACACACACACACACACACACACACACCAGCTTCTTTTTTCCCTTCTCCTGGTACTAAGCAAGAGATCAACATAGGCTTCCGTTCTACCTCATAGACTGTCTCTTTTAACTCTTGGTTAATACATACATACATACATACATACATACATACATATATATATATATATATATCCCATTTCTTCTTGTAAATACCTTTTTTATCGTTATGATAAAGGGGACATGCAGAGAGGTGACACTGACATCAGTCAGGTCACAGTCCATTTCTTTTTGGACCATGTTCCTCCCCCTCCCTCCCAGTTTTTCCTCCAATGTCTAAGCACACGTATGACACATGTATGACACAGCCTTACATGCGTGTGGCCTCTGGGCCCGCCAGAACTCAAGCTTCCTCAGAAAAACACAAAACACATGTACTTTTCTCACCGGCGGACTCATTCGCGTTCACGGAGGAAGGGAAAACACCGCCATCTTCGTCGAAATCGCGGCCTTCAGGAAGACATAGAAATGCTGGGCGACCTAAGACAAGACATCGCAGCACTCACCAATGAAGAGGATGGGGAAGGTGATGAAGAGCAGGAAGACATGCGGGACCAGATTGAGGGCGTCCACGAAGCAAGGGTTCTGCAAGACGCCATCGTAGATGTTGTAGGAGGAAATGTTGTTGCCGCAGAAGGAGAAACTCATCTCTTCTTCTAGGCTTTTCTCTAAGCAGCAGAGGAAGAGAGAGGAGCGTGAGCATCCTCTTGTTACAAACAAGTGTTCCTTCACCCAACGGTGGCATTAAACAGAGAGGGTCGTAGCCAGGCACCGGTGAGTGCCTGCGATCCCAGCTCCTCAGGGGGCTGAGATCTGAGGATCCCGGTTCAAAGCCAGCCCGGGCAGGAAAGACCATGAGACTCTGATCTCCAGTGAACCACTCAGAAAACGGGAAGCAGAGCTGTGGCTCAGGTGGTAGAGCGCCAGCCTTGAGCTGAAGAGCTGAGGGGCAGCGCCCAGGCCCTGAGTTCAAGACTCACGACCGACAAAAAAAAGAAATCAATCACCATGGTGCCATATCAAATCATTCCTTGAGGGGAAAACAACAACAAAGACGAGTAAATAACTAGCTGGAGACGACGCACAGAAAGAGCCCGTTGGTTGCAGAGGCCAGCGATACCCGGGGAATGGCATGGTTCTAGGTAGTTCTGGGCCTTTCTCTGAGGAAAACTCACTGCACAGGACCTGGATGAATGGAGTCGAGTGACAGGTGACTGGAATTGCTCCCGTCTCAAGAGTCAGAAACATTATGGAGTGAAACGGATGCTGCTGGTTTGGACTCAAAGGGGAGCCTGGGGTGGCAAATGTGCTACTCCATGAGAGTAAAATCACGGGGGGCTCCAGAGAGCAATTCCGCCTGGTATTGATGAGGCTGACAGCTGAGGATGGCGGTTCGAAGCCAGTCAGGGCAGAACAGGCCATGAGCCTTTTTTTTCTTGTTTCTTTTCTTTTTTGTCAGTCATGGGGCTTGAACTCAGGGCCTGGGCGCTGTCCCTCAGCTCTTCAGCTCAAGGCTGGCGCTCTACCACGTGAGCCACAGCGCCACTTAAGGTTTTCTGGGGGTTCATTGGAGACAAGAGTCTCTTGGACTTTCCTGCCTGGGCTGGCTTTGAACCCTGATCCTCAGATCTCAGCCTCCTGAGCAGCTGGGATGACAGGCGGGAGCCACAGCAGGGGGTGGGGAGGGAACTGGTCCTCTCAGTCTTAAATTCCCACTTGTCATTGAGTAAAGTTAGGGAGGAGATGCTGGCTGACCTCTGACCTCTGACCTCCCTCTGTCCTCCCTTTCCTTTTCAGATAACTTGGGAGGAGGCCCAGCAGGGAGGAGGAAGAGGAACCCAGTGTGAAGGGGAAAATGCAATTGGTTTCTTTTTGTCCCCACAAGACCTTCTGAAAGGCGTTCCAGCATTTGTGTCAGCACATCCAGAATCATATGCACGGGTACCCCTATTAACTATGTGTAGTTAATATATACAGTATATATACAGAATACATACAGTATATACAGCATGTATACAGTATATACTGTACACACTCAGCACATCCAGAATCATATGCACGGGTACCCCTATTAACTACGTGTAGTTAATATATACAGTATATATACAGAATATATACAGTATATACCGTACATACGCAGCACATCCAGAATCATATGCACGGGTACCCCTATTAACTATTAATTACATATACAGTATATATACAGTATATACTGTACATATTCAGCACATCCAGAATCATATGCATTATTATTAACTATTAATTACATATACAGTATATACTGTACATATTCAGCACATCCAGAATCATATGCATTATTATTAAGTATTAACTATGTGTGGTTAATATATACAGTATATATACAGAATACATACAGTATATACAGCATGTATACAGTATATACTGTACATACTCAGCACATCCAGAATCATATGCACATGTACCCCTATTAGCTACGTGTAGTTAATATATACAGTATATATACAGCATATACTGTACATAGTCAGCACATCCAGAATCATGTGCATGTATACCCCTATTAACTATGCATAGTTAACATATACAGTATATCTACAGTATATATAGTATATGCTGTACATATTTACATATGTATATGTCATTATACTGATACATATCGGCACCTATAGAGTCTGTCTCTCTGTACACATATATGTATACACGTGGATAGTGTATACACCACTGACCCTGACGGTGTATAGACTATTTACACACCAAACACAAATCTATAACGTGTATTAGCTAAAGGACAGAATACACCCGGGCGGATCCCCATGGTGTCAGTCCTTTGAGCCACAAACTCACAGTCTAACACGCTTCTGACCCCCTGCCCGCTCTGACTCTTCCCCGGGGGTCTCTGAAGTCCAAGCACACAGACACACGTGCATACACACAGACACACGTGCACACACCGACACACACACAGCCACTGACTTCTGATGCCCTGCCCACTCTGAATCTTCCCGGGGGGGGGGGTGGTCTCTGAAGTCCAAGCACACAGACACATTTGCACACACAGACACACGTGTGCATGCACAGACACGTGCACACACCGACACACGCGTGCATACACAAGCACACACATTCACACACACAGCCACTGCCTTCTGACCCCCCTGCCCGCTCTGAATCTTCCCCCGGGTCTCTGAAGTCTAAGTGCAAGCACACGCACACACGTGCACACTCAGACACACGCACACATGCACACACGGCCGATGACTTCTGACCCCCTGCCCACTCTGAACCTAAGCCTTGACTCTTCCTGGGTCTCTGAAGTCTAAGCGTGCACGCACATGCACACGCACACACACACACATGCATGCACACACACGCACATACAGCCGATGACCCTGACCCCCTGGCCCCTCTGAATCTTCCCCCGAGTCTCTGAAGTCTAAGCGCAGGCACATGCACACACGCACATGCACACACACACACACACACACACACGCACATGCACCCGCGCACACGGCCCGTGACCCTGACCCCCCCCCACACTCAGGGTCCCCGGCCCCCCAGGAGTGAGGGCGACCCCGCTAAGAACGGTGGTGAGCGCAGAGGCCTACCTGGCCCTCCCCGGGGCTGCGCGTGGCTTTCGGGGTGTCGAGATCACAGGACCCCTAAAAACATAATAAAAGAAGAAAGCGGCAGCCGGGAGCCCGCGGCAGAAAGGTCCAGAAGGCGGGAGGGGAGCCCCGCACCCCCTCTTCTTCCTTCCTTGTCCTCCCCCACGCCCCAGAAAAAGTTCTGGGCGCAGTCGGCGTCCCGGTTCCCCGGCTCCCCGGCTCCCCCGGCTCCCCCGGCTCCCCGGGCTCCCCCGGCTCCCCCAGCCGGTTGTTTTCCCGGCAGCGGCGCCGGCAGGGAGGGGGGGGGCGGGGGAAGCACAGCTGCCGCCTCCTATCAGGTTTCCCGACGACACAAAACGCCCGCCACCCGCGGTCCCCGTGGGGCCTGCGCGGACGCCTCCGACCCCGACGCCCCCGTGAGTGCCAAGGCCGGGCAAGGGGCCAGGTGCCCCGCGTGCCCCGCGCGACCCGGGCCCTTGCCTCCTCCACCCCGCCAGCCCACGCGCTGACTAGAGACACAGGGGGGACCCCAGATGGGCTCTCAGACTGTCCACCGCTGCTTTACCATCACACATTATTCTCTCATCCTGTAGATGTTATCTGTTATTTTATCTATTGTTATAGATGTTATCATTATTATTTATTTTATTATTACATTATTACATGTAATCTATTATATTATTTATTATTGTATTATTATATTATCATGTTATCTATCATTATATTATATTATCATGTTATCTATCATTTTATTATGTTATCATGTTATCTATTATTACATTATGTTATCATGTTATCTATTATTTTATTATATTATGTTATCATGTTATCTATTATTATATTATCATGTTATCTATCATTTTATTATGTTATGTTATCTATTATTTTATTATTGTTATTTATTTTTTATTATTATATTGTCATGTTATTTATTATTTTACATTTCATTACATGCCTATTAGTCCATGTGCTTTTATACACATCCGTGCTATTGCATGTCACTTTGTTATTATAAATGATCATGTTATTACTGTGCACTCTGCATGCCCATTAGTCATCGATGCGATTTTATTATGTGTCCTGTTGCTATGTTTTATACACATTATTTATTATACACATTATGTAGATATTATTTTGTTATTATATATTCTTTTCTGTTTTTTTTTCTTTTTCTTTCTTTTATCCTTGGCCAGTCCTGGGTTTGAACTCTGGGCCTGGGTGCTGTCCCTCAACTCTTCAGCTCAAGGCTAGCGCTCTACCACTTGAGCCACAGCACCACTTCCAGTTTTTTCTGTTTATGTAATGCTGAAGAATTGAACCCAGAGCTTCATGTATGTGAGGCAAGCGCTCTACCACTAAGCCATTTTCCCAACCCATTTCTGGTTTTTTCTGTCTGTGTATGGGATACTGAGGAATCAAACCCAGGGCTTCATGCACGCTAGGCAAACACTCAATCTACCTACCACTGAGCCACCTTCCCAGCCCTCCATATTCTTTAATACACACTATTTATATATTATAGATTAGTTATTATATATTACTGCTGCATATACTGCTGTATATTCTTTTGCACACTTTATATATCATTTTGTTATTGTATATTATTTTGTGCTATATACTCTTTTGTACACATGATTTATCTATTACATGTTATTTTCTTATACATTACTTTATTGCTTTATATTTTTTAAACACATTATTGTTTTGTTATATTCCTTTATTGCCACGTATTATTTTATATGCATTATTTACATGTTATATATTATTGATTTATCATATATTTTTATTTCTGTCACTGCACATTGTATACGTGTTACTTAGACATGATTTTATATGGCTACATGTGATTATATATTATTTTCTTTCTCCAGGACGGGATGCAAGGCGTGAAGGCCAGACCCCGGCTCTTTCTTTCACATGCAGCTTTTCTGCAGGCCCTGGTCTCCGTGCCTGAAGAACAATCACGATGTTCAGGCACCGTCCTGATCAGATTCAACATTAACTCAAATAACCCTGAGCCCCGCGGCTCACGCCTGCCATTCCAGCTACTCAGGAGGCTGACATCTGAGGATCACAGTTGGAGGCTGGCCCCGGCAGAGAAATCTTAAGAGATATTCCTCTCCAATTAACCAGAAAAAAAAATTTTAAATTTAAATCCAGACAAGAACGGAGGTTGACTCAAGTGGTAGAGCACCAGCTTTGAGAGAGGGAAAAAGCTAACGCACAGCACCCGAGGCCCTGAGTTCGAGCCCCAGGACCGGCACACACCATACAATGATTATCCCTACCTTGGTGCAAGTCCATCTGAACAGATCTGCGATGCACACTCATTTGACATCCAAGCACGTCCTAAAGGAGTGCTGAAAGAGGTTGGGAGGTTAAAGGGGAAGAAGAAAGAAAAGGAAAAATAACAGAAAGAACAGGGCGTCACTGGCGGCGTTCCCAGAATCGCAAATCAGGGCCAGCTCATCTAGAAAGCGATCGGAGGAGCTAAAAAAAATAAAACTCAGATAAACACTACCAATCGGGTGGGTACGGTCACATAACCGTTTTTCACACTCCTGAACGTGGGTACCACGGAGCGTGTCCACTTCGGTTCATGAATGGGTCATTTGAGATGACAAGACCATAGGCCAAAAGCCAAGAGATGAAAAAAAATAAGACAACACATTCGATCTTTCTAGAAACTGCAGCCGTGAAATCAACCCACAGCTTGCTGCTCCTCATTCACTAGCCACCAATCGCACAAAGCATGGGTGTCTTCAGGAAGAAGATCATCCCAGCTACTCAGGAGGCTGAGATCTGAGGATCATGGTTCAAAGCCGGCCCAGGCAGGAAAGTCTGTGAGACTCTGATCTCCGCTGCTGGTGCTCTGCCACCTTGAGCCACAGCTCCCTGTCTGGCTTTGTGGTGGTTTGTTGGTGATGAAGAGTCTCAGGGACGTTCCTGCCTGGGCTGGCCTCAGATCACAATCCTCAGATCTCAGCCTCCTGAGGTGTAGGTGCTCAGTTTCCATTCCTTTGGGATGAAAGGAAAATGGAGAAGGATTTTCCCCACTGTCGTTTTCTAGAAAGATGGAGGACGGAAGAGACTTTTCCCCTACTTCTTCTGAGACTGCAGAACTAAAATATACAATACATCTCCCGACCCGCCCGCGGGCCTTCTCTTCTGAGGTGAGTTTGCTGACACCGTTTTCCTGTTTATCTTTCTGGAATGTCAGCTTTCTCTCTTTCCCGTCCTCCAACGCCTTGGCTTGCCAAATTCCCACCAAAATTCCCTCCAGCTTTTCTCTTTGACCCATCCCAACATCCCCCCCCAAATAAAACCAAACCCCACACATACATCTTGACCCTCCAAATTCACCCCAGACTGGAAAGACTAGAGCCTAACTGAATCTGGACTCTGTCCCCGAAAACTCACCTAAGAGGAGAGCCAGCAGATTCCGAATTGGATGAACTACACAAGCAGAACACCAAAATAGCAGAGAAAAGTCCAGAGCTGCTGGGTCCCCCCTGACATTCCAGCTACTCAGAAGGCTGAGATCAGAGGATCGCAGTTCGAAGCCAGCCCAGGCAGACAAAAATCTTAAGAGACTCTGACCCCCAATGAACCACCGAAAAGCTGGAAGTGGCGCTGTGGCTCAAGTGGTAGAGCACCAGCCTTGAGTGAGAAAGAAAGCTCAGGGACAGCGCCCAGGCCCTGAGTTCAAGACCCAGGACCGGCACTCAACCCCCCTCCAAAATGATCACAAATAATCACAACCACCTTTCATCCAGTCCCAGAGATGGAGGGTTGGGGGGGGGGGAGAATGTTCTAGAAAGGCCTTCCAGGCTTGTGTGGCAATAACCTTTGGTGATGGTTCTTTCTGTGTACCTCGTACTAGCCAGGAAGCTGGGTGATGAGAAATGTTTTTCCCGTGGGAAGCTTTTGCACGGCTGTTCACCTTGACACAAGATCTCTGGGAACATGAACGCGTGTGGGAAGCACATACATTTATTAAAAGAAAAATAAGATGTTCCTGTCTGTGTGCATCATTTCTAGTTTTTCTTGGTGGAAGAGTCATATTGTGACCCACGGCTTTGCGTGGGGTTTGTTGTTGTTGGTTCCTGGATCAGACTGGAGGGAAAGAAACAAAAAAAAAACACACACACACACACAAGCATGGCTCCATTTCCCCACTGAGGATTGTTTTAAATCCTAAGTGTGTCTTTGGTGTTGTGAGAACTCGATCGTGGGTCGGTTCCCTTCTCGGGAGAGGAAGAGGGTGGACGTGCAGACTTGCACACCACGGCTGGTTGTGGATATAGACAGCGTGTCCTAGACATGTGACCCCCCAACATAAACAAGAGGAAACCCCCCCCCCCGGCTGCAAAACCACTCAACAAACGCATCAGGGCATGAGAGAGAGAAGAACTTTCTAGGACTCTCAGCTATGGCTCAAGGAGCAGTGTCTCCATTGGGTTTGCTGACCACTGCACGGTCATTCAGCCCCGGGTAGGGAAACACTGGTTCCCGATTCATTCCTGGGTCTTCAACAAGACCCAGGAATCTCCCGTACACTCGATCGATTCTTTTCTCTTTATGTGATCACCAGCCAAAAAGCTTCAGAGAAAAGAATTCTGCTCTATTGTTATTATTGTTCATAGTATGACTAGTATTATTTGTGCCAGTCCCCGGGACTTGAACTCAGGGCCTGAGTCCTGTACCTGAGCTCTTCAGCTCAAAGGCTGGTGCTCTACCACTTGAGCCACGGTGCTAGTTCTGGTTTTCTGGTGGTTCATTGGAGATCAGAGTCTCATGGACTTTCCTGCCCTGGCTGGCTTTGAACCACGATCCTCAGATCTCAGCCTCCTGAGCAGCTGAGATGACAGGCGGGAGCCACCAGCCCCAGGTAATAGCTTAATTTGTATGGGAATCAATCCAGACATGAGATCTGATTATTTCATTCTACAGATTCAATTGGTTCGGATGTTGTGAGGGAGGCTGAGATTTGAGGATTGTGGGGGGAAGCCAGCCTATGCAGGAAAAATCCATGAGACTCTTATTTCCAGTTAGCCACCAAAAAGTTGGAAGTGGCGCTGTGGTTCAAGTGGTAGAGCGCCACCCTTGAGTGAAAGAGCTGAGGAAC